GTAGTGTTGTTGTAGTGTTGTTGCTGTAGTGTTGTTGTTGTAGTGTTGTTGTTGTAGTGTTGTTGCTGTAGTGTTGTTGCTGTAGTGTTGTTGTTGTAGTGTTGCTGTAGTGTTGTTGCTGTAGTGTTGTTGATGTAGTGTTGTTGCTGTAGTGTTGTTGCTGTAGTGTTGTTGTTGTGTTGTTGCTGTAGTGTTGTAGTGTTGTTGTTATAGTGTTGTTGTTGTAGTGTTGTTGTAGCGTTGTTGTTGTAGTGTTGTTGCTGTAGTGTTGTTGCTGTAGTGTTGTTGTTATAGTGTTGTTGTTGCAGTGTTGTTGTTGTAGTGTTGTTGCTGTAGTGTTGTTGCTGTAGTGTTGTTGTTATAGTGTTGTTGTTGCAGTGTTGTTGTTGTAGTGTTGTTGTTGTAGTGTTGTTGCTGTAGTGTTGTTGCTGTAGTGTTGTTATTATAGTGTTGTTGTTTTAGTGTTGTTGTAGTGTTGTTGCTGTAGTGTTGTTGTTGTAGTAGTGTTGTTGTTGTAGTGTTGTTGCTGTAGTGTTGTTGCTGTAGTGTTGTTGTTGTAGTGTTGCTGTAGTGTTGTTGCTGTAGTGTTGTTGATGTAGTGTTGTTGCTGTAGTGTTGTTGCTGTAGTGTTGTTGTAGTGTTGTTGCTGTAGTGTTGTTGCTGTAGTGTTGTTGCTGCAGTGTTGCTGTAGTGTTGTTGTTGTGTTGTTGCTGTAGTGTTGTTTTTGTAGTGTTGTTGCTGTAGTGTTGTTGTTGTAGTGTTGTTGTTATAGTGTTGTTGCTGTAGTGTTGTTGCTGTAGTGTTGTTGTTGTAGTGTTGCTCTTGTGTTGTTGCTGTAGTGTTGTTGTAGTGTTGTTGCTGTAGTGTTGCTGTAGTGTTGTTGTTATAGTGTTGTTGCTGTAGTGTTGTTGTTATAATGTTGTTGCTGTAGTGTTGCTGTAGTGTTGCTGTAGTGTTGTTGTTGTAGTGTTGTTGTTGTTGTAGTGTTGCTGTAGTGTTGCTGTAGTTTTGTTGTAGTGTTGTTGCTGTAGTGTTGTTGTTGTAGTGTTGTTGCTGTAGTGTTGTTGTTATAGTGTTGTTGTTGTTGTAGTGTTTCTGTGTGTTGTAGTGTTGTTGTGTTATCGGTGTAGTGTTGTTCTTGTTGTAGTGTTGCTTTAGTGTTGCTGTGGTGTTGTTGCTGTAGTGTTGTTGTTGTTGTGTTGTTGTTGTAGTGTTGCTGTAGTGTTGTTGTAGTGTTGTTGTAGTGTTGTGTAGTGTTTGTAGTGTTGTTGTAGTGTTGCTGTAGTGTTGTTGTTGTAGTGTTGCTGTAGTGTTGTTGTAGTGTTGTTGTAGTGTTGTTGTTGCAGTGTTGCTGTAGTGTTGCTGTAGTGTTGTTGTAGTGTTGTTGTAGTGTTGTTGCTGTAGTGTTGTTGCTGTAGTGTTGTTGTAGTGTTGTTGCAGTGTTGTTCTTGTAGTGTTGCTGTAGTGTTGTTGTAGTGTTGTTGCTGTAGTGTTATTGCTGTAGTGTTGTTGTTATAGTGTTGTTGTTGCAGTGTTGTTGTTATAGTGTTGTTGTTGCAGTGTTGTTGTTGTAGTGTTGTTGCTGTCGTGTTGTCGCTGTAGTGTTGTTGTTGTAGTGTTGTTGCTGTCGTGTTGTCGCTGTACTGATGTTGTTGTAGTGTTTCTGTGTGTTGTAGTGTTATCGGTGTAGTGTTGTTCTTGTTGTAGTGTTGCTTTAGTGTTGCTGTAGTGTTGTTGTTGTTGTGTTGTTGTTATTGTGTTGTTGGTGGTAGTGTTGTTGCTGTAGTGTTGTTACTGTAGTGTTGTTATTGTTGTGTTATCGGTGTAGTGCTGTTGCTGTAGTGCTGTTACTGTAGTGTTGTTGTTGTTGTGTTGTCGGTGTAGTGTTGTCGCTGTAGTGTTGTCACTGTAGTGTTGCTACTGTAGTGTTGTTACTGTAGTGTTGTCGCTGTAGTGTTGTTGTAGTGCTGTTGTTGTTGTGTTATCGGTATAGTGTTATCGGTGCAGTGTTGTCGCTGTGGTGTTACTGTAGTGTTGTTGTAGTGTTGTTGCTGTCGTGTTGTCGCTGTAGTGTTGTTGTTGTAGTGTTTCTGTGTGTTGTAGTGTTGTTGTTGTAGTGTTTCTGTGTGTTGTAGTGTTGTTGTTGTGTTATCGGTGTAGTGTTGTTCTTGTTGTAGTGTTGTTGGTGGTAGTGTTGTCGCTGTAGTGTTGTTGCTGTAGTGTTGTTGCTGTAGTGTTGTTGTTGTTGTCGGTGTAGCGTTGTCGCTGTAGTGTTGCTGTAGTGTTGTTGCTGTGTCTTGTTGTGTTGTGCAGTGGTTTTGTTGCGTTGCTTGCGGAGATGTGACCTTTTGTGTTGCTATGGAAAGGTTTAAAGTTGAACCAGAAAAGGAAACACAGATGAATGAGTCTAAAGCCTCTCTGCTGCAGGTGAATGAAAGGGAACAGTTGGAGCTTTTGGAGAAGCAGCTGAAACTTCAAGGACAAGTGACTTTGCTACTCGACTAAAAATAGCATTTACAAAAGACCAAGAAGTCTTTTGTCACAGAAGAAGAAATACCTGTTTCTTTTTACTTTCTCATTGAATGTTTTAGAATTGAAATGATCTAAATTAGAACATTTACATGTATATCAAAGGGTAGACTGCCTTCTGTACCTGTGCTACCACCAGAGGGACGGCTGCCATTTGTTTTTCTTTTTGGAAATCCAGAAATTGCCAGCTGCAAACACAGACACAGGTTTGTGCCCAGAGTGTCTGATATTACTGACGATGGATCTGGAAACTGAAGAGGGAACAATGACGTAACATGGATAAAAGATCCTAAAAAGTGAATTTTGGACTAAAATGATAAAAACCTGTTTTTGGATCCTTAATGCATCGGTTTTATACAGAGCTTTTTTGGACTCTCAAAGACGCTTTACATGTCATTATTCTTTCACTCCAAACACACTGGTGATAAACTTCTACTGTAGCCACAGCTGCCCTGGGGCACACACAGAAGCGACAGTGATTCTCAAAGAAAAAACAACGTTATAGACTTGTTTTGTTATTTTTGTTTTGTTGTATTTGTTCAAAAGGGACAGTACCTCTCTTAGCCATATTTTCCTCTTAAACCCTTGGAAACCATGTGCAGCTCTGTCAGTGAGACGTATCGACTTTCTCTCTGCAGCCCTGACACCATCGTTCCAACGCTGAGAAACACAGTCTGTTAGTTTCTGACTCATGAGGAGCAGTCGGAGCTAATGCAGAGCAGATTATTCCCAGGGGCCGATGGTCCTGAGTCTGTGGAGCGGCTCTAAACTCTCTGATCGTCTGAAAACCATGGATCGATGCTCGGCCCATGGTTGGTCCATGACTTCTGAACGCTTCTCAGAGACCATGAAGTCATAGGACCAGGAGCAGGAGGTTTCAGAACGCTTCTCAGAGACCATGAAGTCATAGGACCAGGAGCAGGAAGTTTCAGAGCGCTTCTCAGAGACCATGAAGTACCAGGAGCAGGAGGTTTCAGGCTCCTCCAGTTTCTGTACACTGTGTGAGATTAGCAGTGGTTTGTTTATTCAGGGGCGTCACACTCACTTTGGTCACGGCCGAATATAAAAAACAGGAAGTGTTTTGGGAAAGAATAAAACGAATTTGGACGTGACTTTACTGTGACATGAGTTTCATTATTATTTTCTGGTGTTTATTGTTTAGATTGAACCAAAACTGGACCAAATATAAAGTTAAACACATTGTTTTATTTATACTATTTAACTTCTGATGATGTGTTGGATTAAATTGTTAGAATACATAAATTGTGGCTGTTTTCCTGAGACAATAGATGAAGTCAAACTCAGCTCAGTACCATCAATGCTACAAGTTTATAAAACACATTTTAAATCATTTTAGGGCCCACTGAACCCTAACCCTCTCTCCGGTCTCTCTCTGGTCTCTCTCTGGTCTCTCTCTGGTCTCTCTCTGGTCTCTCTCTGGTCTCTCTCTGGTCTCTCTCCGGTCTCTCTCCGGTCTCTCTCTGGTCTCTCTCTGGTCTCTCTCTTGTCTCTCTCTGGTCTCTCTCCGGTCTCTCTCCGGTCTCTCTCCGGTCTCTCTCCGGTCTCTCTCCGGTCTCTCTCTGGTCTCTCTCCGGTCTCTCTCTGGTCTCTCTCTGGTCTCTCTCTGGTCTCTCTCCGGTCTCTCTCCGGTCTCTCTCTGGTCTCTCTCTGGTCTCTCTCTCTGGTCTCTCTGGTCTCTCTCTGGTCTCTCTCTGGTCTCTCTCTGGTCTCTCTCCCTGGTCTCTCTCTGGTCTCTCTCTCTGGTCTCTCTCTGGTCTCTCTCTGGTCTCTCTCTCTGGTCTCTCTCTCTGGTCTCTCTCTCTGGTCTCTCTCTCTGGCCTCTCTCTCTGGTCTCTCTCTCTGGTCTCTCTCTCTGGTCTCTCTCTGGTCTCTCTGGTCTCTCTCTCTGGTCTCTCTCTCTGGTCTCTCTCTGGTCTCTCTCTGGTCTCTCTGGTCTCTCTCTGGTCTCTCTTTCTGGTCTCTCTCTGGTCTCTCTCTGGTCTCTCCCTGGTCTCTCTCTGGTCTCTCTCTGGTCTCTCTCTCTGGTCTCTCTGGTCTCTCTGGTCTCTCTCTCTGGTCTCTCTCTCTGGTCTCTCTCTCTGGTCTCTCTCTGGTCTCTCTCTGGTCTCTCTGGTCTCTCTCTGGTCTCTCTCTCTGGTCTCTCTCTCTGGTCTCTCTCTGGTCTCTCTGGTCTCTCTCTGGTCTCTCTCTCTGGTCTCTCCCTGGTCTCTCTCTGGTCTCTCTCTGGTCTCTCTCTCTGGTCTCTTCTCTCTCTGGTCTCTCTCTCTGGTCTCTCTCTCTGGTCTCTCTCTCTGGTCTCCCTGGTTTCTCTCTCTGGTCTCTCTCTGGTCTCTCCCTGGTCTCTCTCTGGTCTCTCTCTGGTCTCTCTCTGGTCTCTCTCTCTGGTCTCTCTCTGGTCTCTCTCTGGTCTCTCTCTGGTCTCTCTCTCTGGTCTCTCTCTGGTCTCTCTCTGGTCTCTCTGGTCTCTCTCTGGTCTCTCTCTCTGGTCTCTCTCTCTGGTCTCTCTCTGGTCTCTCTCTCTGGTCTCTCTCTCTGGTCTCTCTCTGGTCTCTCTGGTCTCTCTCTGGTCTCTCTCTCTGGTCTCTCTCTCTGGTCTCTCTCTGGTCTCTCTCTGGTCTCTCTCTGGTCTCTCTCTGGTCTCTCTCTCTGGTCTCTCTCTGGTCTCTCTCTGGTCTCTCTGGTCTCTCTCTCTGGTCTCTCTGGTCTCTCTCTCTCTGGTCTCTGGTCTCTCTCTCTGGTCTCTCTCTCTGGTCTCTCTCTGGTCTCTCTCTGGTCTCTCTGGTCTCTCTCTCTGGTCTCTCTCTCTGGTCTCTCTCTCTGGTCTCTCTGGTCTCTCTCTGGTCTCTCTCTCTGGTCTCTCTCTGGTCTCTCTCTCTGGTCTCTCTCTGGTCTCTCTCTCTGGTCTCTCTCTCTGGTCTCTCTCTGGTCTCTCTCTCTGGTCTCTCTCTGGTCTCTCTCTGGTCTCTCTCCCTGGTCTCTCTCTCTGGTCTCTCTCTCTGGTCTCCCTGGTTTCATTCCTGGAGAGGTCCCTCTGAGGAAAACGCATTAGACTTATTAGATTTAAGCATGTTTATTGATTGAGCATGTTTGGGCCCTAGGCCCGGGCGGGATGCTGTTGAGCACGGCGCTTGCTGGTGCATGATCCCCCCGGGGCCTAGGCACTGACGGCAGAGGCAGTAGGCAACACGCTTCATGCGAGAAGGAGGAGGTGGGGCGGCGGCGGCTTGCAGACTTCAGAAGATCGGGAAGTGGGCGTCTCCGGCTTTTAACTTGCTGTCCTGGTGGTTATTGGTTGACTGGGTGTGGGCGTTGCTGGTATTGATGAGTCGAGGAATAGCAGCCTGTGGCCTGGCAGCAACAGCCGGGTCTACCACGGTGAACTTTCGCGAAAGCTCCATTTCACCTTGGAGAGACCCATGAGGAAAACGCATTAGACTTATTAGATTTAAGCATGTTTATTGATTGAGCATGTTTGGCGCCCTAGGCCCGGGCGGGATGCTGTTGAGCACGGCGCTTGCTCGCGTGCATGATCCCCAAAAAGCGGGCTTGCGATTGGGATAGCAGGACGTACTGCGCGGGCCTGAGAGCATGAGCGAGCTGAGAACATGCGCATGTTCAGCCAGCCGCTGTAGCAGAGGAATCTTTGAGCGAACTGAGAACATGCGCGCACGCGCATGTTCAGCCAGCCGCAGCAGAGGAATCTTTGAGCGAACTGAGAGCATGCGCGCACGCGCATGCTCAGCCAGCCGCAGCAGAGGAATCTTTGAGCGAACTGAGAACATGCGCGCACGCGCATGTTCAGCCAGCCGCAGCAGAGGAATCTTTGAGCGAACTGAGAGCATGCGCGCACGCGCATGCTCAGCCAGCCGCAGCAGAGGAATCTTTGAGCGAACTGAGAACATGCGCGCACGCGCATGTTCAGCCAGCCGCAGCAGAGGAATCTTTGAGCGAACTGAGAATATGAGCGCACGCTCATATTCAGCCAGACGCTGAAGCAAGGAATCTTTGAGCGTTTGAGGAAAGTGCGTGCCGCCACCAGAATCTTATTGCTTACTTGCTTTGCTGGGAGCTTACGAGGAAGCCGGTAGACGTTGTGCTGCCATGATAGCGGTCGCATCTGGCCTGATGTAGGTGGAGAAGCCGAAGAGGACCAGCGCCCCAGCCGTTGCAGAGGAAGAGTGGGGGAGCCCCAGCGAGGTCGCGCGCGTGGCAGCGCCTATCCTGAAGGAGTGGGCTGTATAGAGCTGGGGAGACAAATTGCAGAGGAGCAGTAGGGATCTTAGCTGAGCTCTGAACCAGGTTGCTGTTATGGGAAGGTTGACTGGAGTGAGAATTAGAGGTCCGTTAAAATCTCCTTTTTGCCGCGGAGGCGAGTGTAACGCATCATGGACCTGTAGGGGCAGAGAGATGTGTCGAAGCGAGCTATTATTGTGTTGCAGGCGCCTCTGATCTTTGAATGTTTGAGATGAAGGTTGAATGGTCAGGGGACATTATGTTGGGTGAGAAGAGCGACCTTTGTTTAATGCTTCCACTACGTCGAGATGATCACGCATGACAGAGATCCTCTTTCTCTGCCACGTGTGATTCCGCAGCGCGCAGGCCACGACCACTGGGAATGTCTCGTGTAGGGCAGAGGAAATGCTCCGGGGAAAGTAGCGGGCCACGGCCGGCGAACCACTGGTCCTGGAAGAATCCCCCAAAAACCCACGGAAGGGGCAGCGTCCGTGTAGAAGCGGAGACCTGTAGGGGCAGAGAGACACACCGGAGAGGGCCATTGATGTTGCAGGCGCCTTTACGCTTAGAATCTTGGGTTGGAGAGTAGATAATTAGGCCAGTAGGATAGGACGGGAAGCCGTGTCTCGGACCGCATTGAAGGTTGAGTGAGCAGTGGTGAAACGCTTATGCAGAGAAGCCACAGAAGGCGAGCAGAAGATGCTGCGAGGAGGGCAGACATGTACTTGGAAGATGAGCCGGAGTTCAGCGCCGCTGCAGGATGGGCAGCATGATGGGGAGCCTGTGATCAGAAGAGTGAAGAACCAGGTATGGATGCCTTTGATTAGGAGTCCGATTGACGGCTCAGCGCAGCTACTTGGCCAGCTGCATCTGATAGAATCAGGAGATTCAGTAGAAAGATGAAGCACGACCGCCGAAGCGACCCTGGGAGCATAGGTGCGAGTCCGGCGCAGCGCGGCATACTCAGCCGGGCTGCATCCATTAGAAGCAGGATAAGCTTCTGAGAGAATGGGTTGCAGTAGCAGTAGCAGCAGCGGCAGCAGCAGTAGCCTCAGATAATAACAGCAAAGTCCTGTATCAAGCCGCGGCAGCAGCTGTAGCAGCGTCCTTAGAAAATAACAGTAATAATTCTGTATCAAAGCCACAGCAGTAGAATGTTGTTGTAGCTGTTCAGGGTTTCAGTAAAAGAGATGCGAAGTGAAGAGAGATGGCAAAGTAAATGACAGCAGCAGCAGTAGCAGCAGTAGCCGTATGAAGCAGCAGCAGTAGCAGTATGAAGCAGCAGCAGCAGTAGCAGTGTGAAGCAGCAGCAGCTGCAGCATCCGTCGATAATAGCAGCAATAATCCTGTATCAAAGCCAGAGCAGTAGAATATTGTTGTAGCCGTTTAGTGTTTCAGTAAAAGAGATGCGAAGTGAAGAGGGATGTCAAAGTACATGAAGCAGCAGCAGCAGCGCAGCAGTAGCAGCAGCAGTAACGGTAGCAGTATGAAGCAGCAGAAGCAGCATTAGCAGTAGCAGCAGTAGCAGTATGAAGCAGCAGCGGTTGCAGCATCCGTAGATAATAACAGCCATAATCCTGTATCAAAGCCAGAGCAGTAGAATATTGTTGTAGCTGTTTAGTGTTTCAGTAAAAGAGATGCGAAGTGAAGAGAGATGTCAAGTACATGAAGCAGCAGCAGCACGGCAGCAGATGCAGTATGAAGCAGCAGCGGCAGCAGTAACGGTAGCAGCATGAAGCAGCAGCAGCAGCAGCGGTTGCAGCATCCGTAGATAATAACAGCAATAATCCTGTATCAAGCCACCGCAGTAGAATATAGTTGAAGCTGTTTAGTGTTTCAGTAAAAGAGATGCGCAGTGAAGAGAGGTGTCAAAGTAAAGAAGCAGCAGCAGCACGGCAGCAGATGCAGTATGAAGCAGCAGCGGCAGCAATAGCAGCAGTAGCGGCAGCAGAAGCAGCAAGCAGCAGCAGCACAATGCAATTCATACGAACAACAGACGTGTCACGCCAGCGTGCGCCGCTTGTCTCCGTGAGCCAGGTTACGTACGTGTCTGAAGAGCCGAGCCGTAGAGATAGGTGCAGCCTGGGAGCCTGCGGAGCGGCAGCGGCAGGAACAGCAGCAGCGGCACATGTAGTAGTAGGAGCAGCAGGAGCAGGCAGCAGGGACAGGCAGCAGCAGGAATAGGCAGCAGCGGGATCAGGCATCAGTAGGAACGGCAGCAGGGACCGCAGCAGCGGCGGTCAGAGAACCATGCCCACGGTTGTTTAAGAGCCTGAGGAAATAAATCAACCCGAATCCGAAACATTCCCATGCGAGAAACAGATGTCCCCTGGAGCCATCTTGCTGCTTTGGTTATGGTAGAACGCATGAACGATCACTGATCCATGCGTTCATAGCTACAGCTCCACTTCAAACCCATTGCATATTCACATTGGGCCCCTTTTCTTTCTGCTGCACTTTCGAAATGCAACAACTGCAGTTTAGTTACCCAGTTTAATACTAGTGACCTAGCTATTTAAATGCATGGCCCCTCCTTCCTCCTGCAGATAGACGAATTTAAATACATAATTTAACAATAGTGACTTGCGAGTAATGAGATTGATGCTGTAAAGATGGCGCCGTGCAAGAGCTCTGTGTGTGCCGTCTGGAGCACGATGGGGTAGTCTTTGCACATTTTTTCCAACGTGGTTTTACTGCAAGTGGCAGAACATGAATCTGAATTAATGCACATTGCTCCTCTTATATCCCTCAGACATTGGAGATTGATGCCATTTAAGATGCATTGACCCTCAGTTAGCTCAACACGTGTAAAACGGAGCCTGCAGACCAAGCACGGGCGAAGACTGACGCCTGCAGTCAAGTGCGTAGGGCAAAAACCAGCCGCCTGCAGCCTAGACTCCGGGATTAAACTGTCCGCGGTCGGCACACTCACTGTACTCACATGCCAGGAGACTTGGGAAGAGCAACGGGACAACGCGGCACCGCCAATCGGAGGCAGGGACACGCACAGCACCGCCAGACCGTCTGCGCGCGGCAGCAGACCACGAGGAACGAGCAGCACAGAAACCGCGGAGGGGCCCCGCGGAGCAGCCCGCAGAAGAGCCCGCAGAGGAGGAGAGCAGTGGGGATATGCGAACCACAGCAGGTGCAGGGACGCGGAGGAGGAGCAGACCACGAGCAGCCAGACTGAGGACAGCCGGGCCACGCGCACGAGCAACACGTGAGCAGAAGCGACCCCTCCAGAACAACGCATGCATTTGCGAACAGGAGCGTTTAGCGACATGCACCTTGCAGGCTTCAGAAGTTTGCAGACTTCAGAAGATCGGGAAGTGGGCGTCTCCGGCTTTTAACTTGCTGTCCTGGTGGTTATTGGTTGACTGGATGTGGGCGTTGCTGGTATTGATGAGTCGAGGAATAGCAGCCTGTGGCCTGGCAGCAACAGCCGGGTCTACCACGGTGAACTTTCGCGAAAGCTCCATAACACTACAACAACAACGCTACAACAACACTACAACAACAACACTATAATAACAACACTACAGCAACAACACTACAGCAACAACACTACAACAACAACACTACAACAACAACACTACAACAACACTACAACAACAACACTGCAACAACAACACTATAACAACAACACTACAGCAACAACACTACAGCAACACTACAACAACAACACTATAACAACAACACTACAGCAACACTACAACAACACTACAGCAACAACACTACAACAACAACACTACAACAACACTACAACAACATATATGAATTTACGTATGTATGTATCTATCTATCTATATACACATCCATCTCTCTCTCTCTGTTATCCCCATCCCTGCTGCAGTATTGTCGCTGCAGTATTGTCGCTGACAGACAAGCGAGGCCTGAAATAGCTCGTTACATGTGGGGTAAAAAATGCGTATTAATAATTCAGACGTGTACATTCATCCTGAGCTCTGCGTGACTCATGGAGGCTGCATCTCATTCTTCTCCCATCAGAATATCATGTTCCACGTTTGCACAAGAAAGAACCAGATCATAAGAGCCTCCAACCTTCAGAACGGACTCTTTGGTTTCTGACGTTTGGAATGTTAAAGTTTTATTTAAACATGTGACAGAGACGGTCACAGGAAACATTTAAGGTTTCTGTTTCTTATGGACCGATGCTTTTCTTTCATTGCATTCTGTGTTTGATTCTCTGATCTGTTGTTGGCGAATCGACATTTTAGTCAAATCTTCCACGATAACTACTGTTGTGATTTAGGGCGATCCAATCCACTTAATATTTAAATAGCACATTTTATAAAACCAGTTTCCAAAGTGCTGCACAGAGGTAAAAGAAACACATTGATATATACACGTTTGCAGCTTTATATGGTTAAAAGAATAAATTAGAATAAGTATAAGATTGTGTACGCTGTAAAACCAATTCAAATGAATACAATACCAATTCTCCAACTTAAAAATAAAAATAAAAACTATACAATAAATAAAACCGATGAAACGGTGAGATTCTGAAATCATCTCATATTTACTGTTTTTTCCTGTAGCATGTGTCATGAATAAAACATGCTATTCTTGTTTTTGCTAATGGAATATTTATATCTTTTCTCCTCCTCCTCCTCCAGTGACCGGGCCTTACCCTGACCCCAGTGGACGGATCGAGGAGCTTAATCCAGGCCCTTAGAGAGACGGGCTGAAGAGATGAGGCTGTAATTACCCAGATAAACCATAATGACACCAAAGGCCGGGAACGTGGACCGAGCCGGAGCAGGATCAGCCAAGGACCAGCAAAGACCGGAGAGAAACCGGAGAGAAGATGGAGAGAAGACAGAGAGAAGATGGAGAGATGATGGAGAGAAGACGGAGAGATGATGGAGAGAAACCGGAGAGATGATGGAGAGAAGACAGAGAGAAGATGGAGAGATGATGGAGAGAAGATGGAGAGATGATGGAGAGAAGATGGAGAGAAGATGGAGAGAAGAGCAGATACGATGGAAACAAGAGGCTAAAAATGGCATCCTCCAGTTTCAAATGTTCTCATAAATCATTGACCAAAGATGATTACATTTTGGAAGCGGCCGTGTTTGTCTGAGACATTTTGGAAGCGGCCGGGTTTGTCTGAGACATTTTGGAAGCGGCCGGGTTTGTCTGAGACATTTTGGAAGCGGCCGGGGTTTGTCTGAGACATTTATAAAGGTAGAGACGGTGAGAGAGAAGAAAGACTAATCTGATGTTTACAGTCTGTGGTGCGTTCAAAGACCCACAGTTATTATTGTTGCAGCCATTTCATCCCAAAAATCCTTAACTCCTTGAGCCTAGAACTCTCAGGGCAGTCATTTAGACGGCTTTTAGTTTTGGAAGTGTGTTTTTGGTCTTGATAACTTTGTGACGTTTTTATTTAAGTCTAAATTTGTTCATGACATGATGGTTTTCTGTCGACACGTGAGAAGATCTTGTCTTGTTAACACTGGTAAATGTATTCCAATGTGGTTTTACTGCAAATGGAAAATTAATGAATCTTATTATGAATGCCAGGTGCTAGTTACCGTAGCAACACACGGTTTACTGTCAGAAGTTAGCATTAGTCTTTTTTAATCTGTATTTCAGTGATACTCACCAGTTTTAGCACTTATTAAAAGTGAGTAAAGGTAAATTACAGATGCATTACTTCCTCTAAATGAATCTGGTAAAAACACTAAACATTCTTTGGAGGAATTTCCCAGAATTCCATTGGTTTGAACAGGAGCAGTCAATAGTTTCATAACTGTGGGAGTCCTCGTGTTAAAAACAGCCTTTCTCTGATTTGATATGAAATAAATCCAAGTTTTGTTGTAAACGTCTCCACAGAGTGAGATCCAGCTCCGAGCTGCACCTGCTCCAGACTCAGAGAGACGCAAACGCCGACCTTCAAACAATAAAAGATTATGGAAGAAAACAACAACAGTGTTTGGAGCTGATGCTTCTCCAGGGACCGGGGCAATTAACGGCAGAAGGAGAGGTCTGGGCCGTCCTTGTCCAGGCCTGTGCCCCCCTCTGCCCCCCTCTACCCCCCTCTACCCCCCTCTGCCCCACTCGGCCCCCTCTCTGCCCCCCTCGGCCCCCTTCTACCCCCCTCTACCCCCCTCTACCCCCCTCTGCCCCCCTCTGCCCCCCTCTGCTCCCCACTGCCCCCCACTGCCCCCCACTGCCCCCCTCTGCTCCCCTCTGCCCCCCTCTGGATATGAAAGGTTATAAAGATAGAGGCGTGAGGGAGAGAATCAGACGAGGCTAATCCTGGAGTGGTCCACGAGGGACACAATCTCACTTTGGAAAAGACAATCTCACTTTTTCACATGCTCCGGCTGCAGATCAATGACAAGGTGACCCACGGCGAGAACAGGGCTGCCAACGCCTCTCTATCGGCAACGCTGAGGCCCCCAATGAGAGGGGGAGAGAGAGGGGAGAGGAGAGGGGAGAGAGAGGGGAGAGAGGGGGGGAGAGGGGGGAGAGAGAGGAGAGGAGAGGGGAGAGAGGAGGTGAGAGAGGAGAGAGGAGAGAGAAGGAGGAAAGGAGGGAAGGGGTGAAGGATGGAGAGAGGTGAGAGGAGAGAGACGAGGGGAGGAAAGAGAAGAGAGAGAGAGGAGAGAGAGGAGAGAGAGGGAGGAGGCTGTTGACATGTGCAGAACAGGGTTTTCAGGTAAGAATAGAAGCACAAGTGATAAAGGTTTTTAGAAAAGGGTCAAAAGATGTTAATGGGAAATGGATTTATGTGAAATGACACAACGGAAGGTCAGGAGGAGGAAGAGGAAGAGGAGGAGGAAGAGGAGGAGGAAGAGGAAGAGGAAGAGGAGGAGGAAGAGGAGGAGGAAGAGGAGGAGGAAGAGGAGGAGGAAGAGGAAGAGGAGGAGGAAGAGGAAGAGGAGGAGGAAGAGGAGGAGGAAGAGGAAGAGGAGGAAGAGGAGGAGGAAGAGGAGGAGGTGTGAGAGCTGGTGGGCGCCTCCTTCTCTCTGGACAAATACTTCCCAAAGTCAGTAGAATCAGGAGAACCTTAAACAGCTGCAGATTATTGGACTGAAGGACTCTGGGATATAAAAGACATTATATTAAACAAATGTAAAAACCTCTTCACCTGCAGCAGAGTGAGAGCTCCTGTTCTGTCCAATCACAATCTCTGTGTTTCCACCTCTGCTTCTGTCGCCCTGAAGCCAAACAACTGTGTCTTTTACTGTCATTTCCCCTGGATCTGGCGCCCACGTCTCGGCCAATCACAAAGCAGGACTGCCGGGGGTTAAGTCTGCGCGTGATTGGTCAAAGTTAAAACAAACATGTCCGAAAGAAGATTGTCACTGATCAAAAAGTCAAAATGGAATTCTCTGGAGCAGAGACAGAAGCCGAGGTCGCCCTGGAATTTAAGTCTGGCTGCAGGTTCTGCTTTGGTTCATCCATATCTTTGTGTTTTTGTCTGTCTTCTTCTTGTCCTTCAATAAAAACATGTAGAATTCCTCTTTCACAAACGAACAGACCTGCTCTAAATCAGACATGACTCTATTTGGCACATTTTGACAATTTATGAATGATTTTTCTCTATTCTTGGCTTATATTTCATCAAATCTCCAACAAACAAACTGCACAAGGAGCTGAACGTGTCATATTTATCTGTGTTTCCGTCACTATCAGCTTCAAAACAACGGCGTCGGCCTAAAATGGCGTCAGTTTCAAACCAGAGTATTTTTAGACGGATCCAGCAGGACTCTGACTGCTTCACAAACTCACAGAGACACACACAGAGACGCACAGAGACACACAGAGACACACAGGGAGACACACACAGAGACACACAGAGAGACACACAGAGACACACAGAGAGACACACAGAGACACACAGAGAGACACACAGAGACACACAGAGAGACACACAGAGACACACACAGAGACACACAGAGACACACACAGAGACACACACAGAGACACACAGAGAAACACACAGAGAAACACACAGAGACACACACAGAGACAGACAGAGTAACACACAGAGACACACAGAGAGACACACAGAGAAACACACAGAGACACACACAGAGACACACACAGAGACACACAGAGACACACACAGAGACACACACAGAGACACACACAGGGAAACACACAGAGACACACAGAGAAACACACAGAGAAACACACAGAGACACACACAGAGACACACAGAGAAACACACAGAGAAACACACAGAGAAACACACAGAGACACACAGAGACACACAGAGTAACACACAGAGACACACAGAGAAACACACAGAGAGACACACAGAGACACACAGAGTAACACACAGAGACACACACAGAGACACACACAGAGACACACAGAGACACACACAGAGACACACACAGAGACACACACAGGGAAACACACAGAGACACACAGAGAAACACACAGAGAAACACACAGAGACACACACAGAGACACACAGAGAAACACACAGAGAAACACACAGAGAAACACACAGAGAGACACACAGAGACACACAGAGTAACACACAGAGACACACAGAGTTATCGGTCGTTACAACAAACGCTGAGTCAAAAGAACTTGTTTTTCCTTCGCCAGAGTCCGGTCCTAACATCTGGCTCCGACTCTGACACTTGACTGAATGTGAGGTTCTTCTTCTGTGGTTTAGGTTCTTCTTCTGTGGTTTAGGTTCTTCTTCTGTGGTTTAGGTTCTTCTTCTGTGGTTTAGGTTCTTCTTCTGTGGTTTAGGTTCTTCTTCTTTGGTTTAGGTTCTTCTGTGGTTTAGGTTCTTCTGTGTTTTAGGTTCTTCTGTGGTTTGTGGATCCGCCGTTTCCTCGTGACGCTGGGATTGAGCTACGCTGGAGGAGAACTGTTTTTCGGTGCCTTTAATAAAACACGGCCTTGTTTTTCACAGGTTTCACCGATTTGTTGTATTTTTATTTAACTCTCAGGAATAAGTCGTGTTTAAATAAACACGACCACAGCGTGACTCGGGGTTTTTAGAAAAACATGTTTTAGATTTGAACAGAAGAGAAACAGAAATATCACTGAAGGTTATAGTTTTCCTTCATACTTTCATACTTCATACTGTATTTTTTTAATTCGTGTTGCTGGACATCTGGATTTCTCCTGCAGCGATCAAAAAAGAATCTATCAAGCTAATATCCATCCATCTTCTTCCCCATAATCCATGTCTGGGTCGGGGGTGGCAGTCAGAGCACCAGCCCCTCACTGATCCTCCTGCAGGTGCTGAGATCTTTCAGTGGGGGCTTCAGGCAAAGTGGGGTCAAGTGTCTTGCCCAAGGACACAACGACAGCAGACATCAGTGGGAGTCGTGAGGTAGGTCTTAGGGTGGGCTCGAACCCACGACCTTCAGGCTCAAAGGCCAATGCTCTACCAACTGAGCCACGCATCGCCGCCGTGTCCACATCGCCGCTGCAGACGCATCGCCGCTGCAGACGCATCGCCGCTGCCGACCTATCGCCGCTGCAGACGCATTGCCGCTGCCGACCTATCGCCGCTGCAGACGCATTGCCGCTGCAGACGCATTGCCGCTGCAGACGCATCGCCGCTGCAGACGCATCGCCGCTGCAGACCTATCGCCGCTGCAGACGCATCGCCGCTGCAGACCTATCGCCGCTGCAGACGCATCGCCGCTGCAGACCTATCGCCGCTGCAGACGCATCGCCGCTGCAGACCTATCGCCGCTGCAGACGCATCGCCGCTGCAGACGCATTGCCGCTGCAGACGCATCGCCGCTGCAGACCTATCGCCGCTGCAGACGCATCGCCGCTGCAGACCTATCGCCGCTGCAGAGCATCGCCGCTGCAGACCTATCGCCGCTGCAGACGCATCGCCGCTGCAGACCTATCGCCGCTGCAGACGCATCGCCGCTGCAGACCTATCGCCGCTGCAGACGCATCGCCGCTGCAGACCTATCGCCGCTGCAGACGCATCGACACTGCAGACGCATCGCCGCTGCAGACGCATCGCCGCTGCAGACACATCGCCGCTGCAGACGCATCGCCGCTGCAGACCTATCGCCGCTGCAGACACATCGCCGCTGCAGACGCATCGCCGCTGCAGACACATCGCCGCTGCAGACGCATCGCCGCTGCAGACGCATCGCCGCTGCAGACGCATCGCCGCTGCAGACGCATCGCCGCTGCAGACGCATCGCCGCTGCAGACACATCGCCGCTGCAGACGCATCGCCGCTGCAGACACATCGCCGCTGCAGACACATCGCCGCTGCAGACCTATCGCCGCTGCAGACGCATCGCCGCTGCAGACCTATCGCCGCTGCAGACGCATCGCCGCTGCAGACGCATCGCCGCTGCAGACGCATCGCCGCTGCAGACCTATCGCCGCTGCAGACGCATCGCCGCTGCAGACGCATCGCCGCTGCAGACGCATCGCCGCTGCAGACCTATCGCCGCTGCAGACGCATCGCCGCTGCAGACGCATCGCCGCTGCAGACGCATCGCCGCTGCAGACGCATCGCCGCTGCAGACCTATCGCCGCTGCAGACGCATCGCCGCTGCAGACGCATTGCCGCTGCAGACGCATCGCCGCTGCAGACGCATCGCCGCTGCAGACGCATCGCCGCTGCAGACCTATCGCCGCTGCAGACGCATCGCCGCTGCAGACCTATCGCCGCTGCAGACGCATCGCCGCTGCAGACCTATCGCCGCTGCAGACGCATCGCCGCTGCAGACCTATCGCCGCTGCAGACGTATCGCCGCTGCAGACCTATCGCCGCTGCAGACGCATTGCCGCTGCAGACCTATCGCCGCTGCAGACGCATCGCCGCTGCAGACCTATCGCCGCTGCAGACGCATTGCCGCCGCAGACGCATCGCCGGCTTCCTTACATCAGGCTACATCAGGGACGGGGAACGCGCTCGGACTAACGAGGCCTGATATGGATGTATGCTAACGTAAACGCAGAAGACAATCCATATTCTCGTCCGCCGCCTGAGTCCTCATTTCCAACATGGCAGCCGTAAGAAGGAGAGCCAGAGTCCTGAATTATTCACTCCACATTGCATTTCCAGCGCTCGGCTCCAGCCGTGGTTTATTAGGAAAGCTGGGATTGTCTGCTTCGTTAAAGGTCAGGCGGCCATCTTTACCAGCGCCTTTCTCTATTCCTTTCATACAAATGGAAAACATATAGAAGCAAATGCAAAGGCGGGGGTTTGATGCTGAAAGATGTTGGTGAGCGAGGCCCAAAATGATTCTGATTCTGGTTTTTCTCAGGATTCTGCATCGATTTGTTGTATTTTTACATAACTCTGGCTCAGGAATAAGTCATGTATGAATAAATAGAAGCCACGATTCAGGGTTTTTCCAAACCTGTGGATGGCTTTAGATTCGTGTGAGGTGGATTTAGAATCATATAAAACAGTTTGATCACAGCGGAAAGGTAAAAAATAATGAGGTATTCTTTGTTTAAGGCTCAGAAAGTTACTAGACAAAAGTGTAAAGCTTTTTACTGCTGGTGATCAAGCACGGCTAGTTTATTTACACTTGTGTTTTACTAAAATAAAGCTGGGATCGTCTGCTCCGTCGAAGGTCCGGCGGCGTTCTTTACCAACGCTTTTTTCCAATAGTTTTACACAAATTGAAAACATAGACGTGAGGTGCATAAGTGTGGGTTTGATGCTAAATGTACAAAGCAGAAGATACGACAAACTCTGATAATCTCACAAAGGAGAGATTTACAGAAAGTCTTTCTCCTACTCAGAGGCTCAGGCGTTAAACTGTGTCTGGAAACACACAGTGGCAGAGTGGTTAGCACGCTCAGGTCCCAGGTCCAACAGGGTTTCTCTGAGAGCTCCTTCCACGACCGCTAACAACAAGTTCAATCAGTTAAATCTTACAGTTCTGGTCCTGACTCAGCTGAACATAAATATCTAGCTGGGTTCTCTGGGGCTGGATTCAAACTTTACTGAAAAGAACATTTTACAACTTCTGAAAGTGAAAGAGTTGCTGACTCTAAGGCTGTAAGACCTTCACTGTCCGTCAAAGCTGGAGGAGGCTGTATGATCAAAGGTTTTCTATTCCATTCAGTCCAATTCAAATGATCTCTCTTCAAATCATCAGTCAATTTATCCAAACACAGAAGAGATAAACTACTGTAGCCACAGCTGCCCTGGGGCACACTGACAGAAGCCCCTCCCACCACCACCAACCATTCACACACACACCAGACTCATTCTAATGTGGGGGAAGTGTCTTGCCTAAGGACACAACCACATCCACAGCCGACCCACTGTGGCACCTGCTGTTCCCAGAGGTCTCCCATCACAGTACTAACCAGGCCCTGCCCTGCTTAGCTTCAGAGGTCTGACAGGATCTAGCTTTCACCTGCAGGTTTGGTCATGTGACATTCAAACAGCATAATAATATTATTATTATTATCATTATTATAATGATTATTATTATTATTATTATTATTATCATTATTATTATTATTATGGTATAACTTAGAGGAGGTGTCTCAGTCATAACAGAGTTGTCGTCGTCGTGTTCCTCGGTGTCACTTCAGAAAGAGAGAGAACGCTAAATAAGCCATGATGGGCGCACGCCGAGGTTGACCCCCCTCAACCTCACCCCCTCCCTCACCCTCCCTCACCCTCCCTCACCCTCCCTCACCCCCTCCCTCCCCCTGCCCCCCTCCCTCCGGGAAGTTCCCAGTGGTTTCGCACTACTTTGCACTTCAGTGGCAGCTCGTCACTTGCAGACGGGTCAAATGCCATTTCATTTTCTCGCCTTTGATCGCCGCTCGCTCGCCCTCCTGCCTGTTTCATCTCTCTCTCTCTGCACCCACGCTCTCCCCCTCCTCCCCCCCTCCTCCCCCCTCCCCCTCCCCCCCTCCTCCCCCCCCCCCTCCTCCCCCTCCTCCCCCTCCCCCTCCCACCAACATCAGTGCAGTACAAACTTTATTCTGATCACATCCACAGCTCCAGGACTCGCAGAGATCTCGATCCTTCTCAGATTTATTTGAGCTCAGTGACGTCAGAAACATCTTAAAAAGGTCTTAAACGGCTCAGAGTCTGGGAGAGTGTAGGGTCAGAGAGAGTTTGGACCTGTGTCTGGTCCGACTGAATGAATGTGTGACGGTTTCTAACGTATAGAATTGTACATTGTATTGAAGTGACAAAGGGACAGAGGGAGTTGGGGTAAAATAAGCGTCTGTTTTGAACCACTGTGAACCACGATCAATTCCAGAGAGTCTGAGGTTTACAACAAGGTACAGCACTGTGTTGGTGGAGCTGAAGTTGGCTGGATGACACTGTCAAAGTGCCTCAATGGAGACTTTGTGTTAGCAGCAGAGGGCCACATGAGAGAACACAGAGGGCCGCGTTTGGCCCACGGGCCTGATTTAATGAATGAATAATATGCAGATGAGGCTGAATGTTTGAGGATTAACATGTTTATGTAGATGTTAATATTTTCTGATTAATGATTAATGTGAAGTACGTCGTTTTGCCTAAACTTTGATTAATTCATTTTGAAAGTTTTGTAATTTACAAATAAAACCAATGATAGAAAAAGCCCTGAAGCCGTTCTCTCGGTAAAGAACCCTCTCTTCATGAATCTATCGCTCCAGTATTTCCCATGAGCCTCTGGGCCTCGCACAGCCCCCCACAGCCGCTACACCCACAGCTGCTACACCCACAGCCGCTACACCCACAGCTGCTACACCCACAGCCGCTACACCCACAGCGCTACACCCACAGCTGCTACACCCACAGCCGCTACACCCACAGCTGCTACACCCACAGCCGCTACACCCACAGCTGCTACACCCACAGCCGCTACACCCACAGCCGCTACACCCACAGCTGCTACACCCACAGCCGCTACACCCACAGCTGCTACATCCACAGCCACTACACCCACAGCCGCTAAACCTACAGCCGCTAAACCTACAGCCGCTACACCCACAACTGCTACACCCACAGCTGCTACACCCACAGCTGCTACACCCACAGCCGCTACATCCACAGCCGCTACACCCACAGCCGCTACACCCACAGCCGCTACACACACAGCCGCTACACCCACAGCCGCTACATCCACAGCCGCTAAACCTACAGCCGCTACACCACAACTGCTACACACACAGCTGCTACATCCACAGCCGCTACACCCACAGCCGCTACACCCACAGCCGCTACACACACAGCCGCTACACCCACAGCCGCTACACCCACAGCCGCTACATCCACAGCCGCTAAACCTACAGCCGCTACACCCACAACCGCTACACCCACAGCTGCTACACCCACAGCTGCTACACCCACAGCCGCTACACCCACAGTTGCTACACACACAGCTGCTACATCCACAACCGCTACATCCACAGCCGCTACACCCACAGCCGCTACATCCACAGCCGCTAAACCTACAGCCGCTAAACCTACAGCCGCTACACCCACAACCGCTACATCCACAACCGCTACATCCACAGCCGCTACACCCACAGCCGCTACATCCACAGCCGCTAAACCTACAGCCGCTACACCCACAGCTGCTACACCCACAGCCGCTACATCCACAGCCACTACATCCACAGCCGCTAAACCTACAGCCACTACACACACAGCCGCTACACCCAGAGCTGCTACAACCACAGCCGCTACACCCACAACCGCTACATCCACAGCCGCTAAACCTACAGCCGCTACACCCACAACCGCTACATCCACAGCCGCTACACCCACAGCCGCTACATCCACAGCCGCTAAACCTAAAGCCGCTACACCCACAACCGCTACACCCACAGCTGCTACACCCACAGCTGCTACACCCACAGCCGCTACACCCACAGCCGCTACACCCACAGCCGCTACACCCACAGCCGCTACATCCACAGCCGCTAAACCTACAGCCGCTAAACCTATAGCCGCTTACACCCACAACCGCTACATCCACAGCCGCTACACCCACAGCCACTACATCCAAAGCCACTACACCCCACAGCCGCTTTATCCACAGCCGCTAAACCTACAGCCGCTACACCCACAACCGCTACATCCACAGCCGCTACACCCACAGCCGCTACATCCACAGCCGCTAAACCTAAAGCCGCTACACCCACAACCGCTACACCCACAGCTGCTACACCCACAGCTGCTACACCCACAGCCGCTACACCCACAGCCGCTACACCCACAGCCACTACACCCACAGCCGCTACATCCACAGCCGCTAAACCTACAGCCGCTAAACCTATAGCCGCTACACCCACAACCGCTACATCCACAGCCGCTACACCCACAGCCACTACATCCAAAGCCACTACACCCACAGCCGCTTTATCCACAGCCGCTAAACCTACAGCCGCTACACCCACAACCGCTACATCCACAGCCGCTACACCCACAGCCGCTACATCCACAGCCGCTAAACCTAAAGCCGCTACACCCACAACCGCTACACCCACAGCTGCTACACCCACAGCTGCTACACCCACAGCTGCTACACCCACAGCTGCTACACCCACAGCCGCTACACCCACAGCCGCTACACCCACAGCCGCTACATCCACAGCCGCTAAACCTACAGCCGCTAAACCTATAGCCGCTACACCCACAACCGCTACATCCACAGCCGCTACACCCACAGCCACTACATCCAAAGCCACTACACCCACAGCCGCTTTATCCACAGCCGCTAAACCTACAGCCACTACACCCACAGCTGCTACACCCACAGCCGCTACACCCACAGCCGCTACATCCACAGCCGCTACATCCACAGCCGCTACAACCACAGCCGCTACACCCACAGCCGCTACACCCACAGCCGCTACATTCACAGCCGTTACACCCACAGCCGCTACATCCAAAGCCGCTACATCCACAGCCGCTACATCCACAGCCGCTACATACAAAGCCACTACACCCAGGAAGAAGAGAGCATGGTTCAGGCAGAGAGGAAGAAGAGAGCATGGTTCAGGCAGAGAGGAAGGAGAGAGCATGGTTCAGGCAGAGAGGAAGGAGAGAGCATGGTTCAGGCAGAGAGGAAGAAGAGAGTATGGTTCAGGCAGAGAGGAAGAAGAGAGCATGGTTCAGGCAGAGAGGAAGAAGAGAGTATGGTTCAGGCAGAGAGGAAGAAGAGAGTATGGTTCAGGCAGAGAGGAAGAAGAGAGTATGGTTCAGGCAGAGAGGAAGAAGAGAGTATGGTTCAGGCAGAGAGGAAGAAGAGAGCATGGTTCAGGCAGAGAGGAAGAAGAGAGTATGGTTCAGGCAGAGAGGAAGAAGAGAGCATGGTTCAGGCAGAGAGGAAGAAGAGAGTATGGTTCAGGCAGAGAGGAAGAAGAGAGTATGGTTCAGGCAGAGAGGAAGGAGAGAGCATGGTTCAGGCAGAGAGGAAGAAGAGAGCATGGTTCAGGCAGAGAGGAAGAAGAGAGCATGGTTCAGGCAGAGAGGAAGAAGAGAGCATGGTTCAGGCAGAGAGGAAGAAGAGAGCATGGTTCAGGCAGAGAGGAAGAAGAGAGTATGGTTCAGGCAGAGAGGAAGAAGAGAGTATGGTTCAGGCAGAGAGGAAGAAGAGAGCATGGTTCAGGCAGAGAGGAAGAAGAGAGTATGGTTCAGGCAGAGAGGAAGAAGAGAGCATGGTTCAGGCAGAGAGGAAGTAGAGAGTATGGTTCAGGCAGAGAGGAAGGAGAGAGCATGGTTCAGGCAGAGAGGAAGAAGAGAGCATGGTTCAGGCAGAGAGGAAGAAGAGAGTATGGTTCAGGCAGAGAGGAAGAAGAGAGCATGGTTCAGTCAGAGAGGAAGAAGAGAGTATGGTTCAGGCAGAGAGGAAGAAGACAGTATGGTTCAGGCAGAGAGGAAGAAGAGAGTATGGTTCAGGCAGAGAGGAAGAAGAGAGCATGGTTCAGGCAGAGAGGAAGAAGAGAGTATGGTTCAGGCAGAGAGGAAGAAGAGAGCATGGTTCAGGCAGAGAGGAAGGAGAGAGTATGGTTCAGGCAGAGAGGAAGGAGAGAGCATGGTTCAGGCAGAGAGGAAGAAGAGAGTATGGTTCAGGCAGAGAGGAAGAAGAGAGCATGGTTCAGGCAGAGAGGAAGAAGAGAGTATGGTTCAGGCAGAGAGGAAGAAGAGAGCATGGTTCAGGCAGAGAGGAAGAAGAGAGCATGGTTCAGGCAGAGAGGAAGAAGAGAGTATGGTTCAGGCAGAGAGGAAGAAGAGAGCATGGTTCAGGCAGAGAGGAAGAAGAGAGTATGGTTCAGGCAGAGAGGAAGAAGAGAACATGGTTCAGGCAGAGAGGAAGGAGAGAGTATGGTTCAGGCAGAGAGGAAGGAGAGAGTATGGTTCAGGCAGAGAGGAAGAAGAGAGCATGGTTCAGGCAGAGAGGAAGAAGAGAGTATGGTTCAGGCAGAGAGGAAGAAGAGAGCATGGTTCAGGCAGAGAGGAAGGAGAGAGTATGGTTCAGGCAGAGAGGAAGGAGAGAGCATGGTTCAGGCAGAGAGGAAGAAGAGAGTATGGTTCAGGCAGAGAGGAAGAAGAGAGCATGGTTCAGGCAGAGAGGAAGAAGAGAGTATGGTTCAGGCAGAGAGGAAGAAGAGAGTATGGTTCAGGCAGAGAGGAAGAAGAGAGCATGGTTCAGGCAGAGAGGAAGAGGAGAGCATGGTTCAGGCAGAGAGGAAGAAGAGAGCATGGTTCAGGCAGAGAGGAAGAAGAGAGCATGGTTCAGGCAGAGAGGAAGAAGAGAGCATGGTTCAGGCAGAGAGGAAGAAGAGAGCATGGTTCAGGCAGAGAGGAAGAGGAGACAGAAAAGTGTGTGTTGGTTTGGGTTCAGGAAACAGATCAGACTTCAGGATATTGACTCAGGGAGAGAGCTGGAGGTGAGTGAGCGCCGCAGACGGGTTTGGATCCAAATATGTAACAATGCAACGAGAAGGTCACGGCATCGATCTGAAAAAGACACATGTTCGGACACTCATTGCAGCTGTCAATCATCCGGAGACAACGCAGACGTCAACGACCATCGATCTGGACCTCGCTCCGTCTCAGCGCTGTCAGAACGTTTTACTGATGAAACTAGGATTGGAACAAGATTCTTATTCAACTTTGTGTTGGGTCTAGTCTGGTCTTACCACACTATTGTACTCATTTCATACTAAGGTCTGGATCTGCTCCATTGACTCCGTGAACAGGTGGGAGGGGCTAACTCCTTTGGAGATTAAAACCATTGGATCTGAGTTTACTGTGACGTATGTAATGAGTGAGTGAGGCAGTTAGCTTTTAGCCTAGCTTTAGCATGTAGCCTAGCTTTAGCATGTAGCCTAGCTTTAGCCATCTCCTTTGCCACTAACGGAGCCCGTGGGGAGTAGAGCCACAACATGTTTGCATCAATGACTTTTACTAAACATTCCTCTTGCTCCGGCTTCAGTTTCTTGATATTTGGATTGAACCAGAACAGATTATTTTACTATCACAGTCTCCGACAAACTACAACCAGCCTCTTGACCCAATAGTGGTCTCTATCCTGTCGAGGTCTCGATCACAGCTCAGTCACAGCTTAAACCTATGTCCCCGTTATCATAACGGCATCGGCTTCGACTAAAAAATTCTTCCCGGCAACAGAGAAGACGCAGAGCACTGATTGGCCGCTGAGCTCTGAATACAAAAGCGACCCACGGTCACAAAACGTCCTTCGCTGCACGTCCACAACAGAGTTTTAACGATACAGGAGAAACAAGTTCAAAATGTCTACCTTTGGAATAATAAGAAGCAAGTTTAACCCTCTATGCACATGGGTCATTTTGGGGAACTTTCCTCGCCTGGTTTACTTTGTGTATAATGGTTCATAAAACAGTCATCTTTTGATGCAGAGTCAAGCAGTATACTTTGTTTTTTTCAGTACAACCTGGAGTTTTAGAATATTCATATTGTAAAGCTGTCATATGAATTATATAAAAATTGTGGAATCATGAAGACAAAGAAAAAAATCAAACGGAAAATCAATTTAACAAAAATGTATTGAAAAAACACAATGAAATGCTATAAACAACTTTTTACACTGCATAGAAATGTTATTTATGGTCTTGGGGATAATGGGGAAAAAAAATTTAATCTCTAACTATTATACTTTTTACAAAATTCCACTATAAAAGCAAAAAACTCTGTACTCCTGATGCCCTTCCTGAAGCAGTTTGTCTATAATGCTGGGGTTACTTCTGTAGTACAGCTGTAAAAAACATAAAACTGAGCCAAAAAAAAAAATAACATCAATTATTTATATAGTACATATATTTATATACATCATATACACATAATGTCATTTTACTGTATTTATTATAGTCTTTATCAATAATGCGCACTCTTCAGCCGGTTTTTGCAATCGCAGCTGTAGTTTCAACTGTGGGAGAACAAGTAAACGCAGAGGAGTGAGACATCTCACTCTCTGACGATCTTTGGCAGTCCCCGTGTGTCTGTATCTCACAGCTGTTTGTACCTCACGGGTCACGCTTTGGACACGGACTTTCAGACAAACGTAGTTTATCCTCCGTGCATCGCACAGACAAATCAAAACTAGTTTCGCCCTGATTACGTACTTCACAGAGGGAAAAAAAGTAAGTTGCTACGTTTTACCGTTCGCGAGTAAATTGATCATTTGTAAAACATGTGCGCGTGCATCGGCGCCGATGCAGACGGGTTCATAGGGTTAAAGTCAGCTGAGAGACATAGTCCCTCCAGCGTGTCCTGGGACGTGCCTGGAACACCTCCCCAGGGAGCCGTCCAGGAGGCATCCTGAACAGATGCCCGAGCCACCTCAACTGGTGCCTCTCGACGTGGAGAAGCAGCGGCTCTACTCCGAGCTCCTCCCGTGTGACTGAGCTCCTCACCCTATCTCTAAGGGAGCAGCGGCTCTACTCCGAGCTCCTCCCGTGTGACTGAGCTCCTCACCCTATCTCTAAGGGAGCAGTCACTCTGCGGAGGAAGCTCATTTCGACCGCTTGTATCCGCGATCTCGTTCTTTCAGTCATTACCCAAAGCTCTGACTGCAGACGCTGCTCCCTCATGACCAGAGGTGAGGGAGGGAACAAAGATTGACCGGTAAATCGCGAATGACTGACGTATATTTTCAGACACAGGTAAAATAAAACCCATCATCACAAAGAGACACACTATAGATATTTACAGTACGGGACTTTAACAAACCTACTCTACTACAGCTGCTCGTCAAAACATAATCCATCCCACCTCTCCTGCTCGTGCCTCTTCCCAACATCCTGGACCCCCTGCAGTTCGCCTACAGAGCCAACAGATCTGTAGACGACGCCATTAACCTGGCCCTCCACCACATCCTACAGCACCTGGACTCCCCGGGGACCTACGCCAGGGTCCTGTTCGTGGACTTCAGCTCTGCCTTCAACACAATCCTGCCATCCCTGCTCCAGGACAAGCTCTCCCAGCTCAACGTGCCCGATTCCACCTGCAGGTGGATCACTGACTTCCTGACGGACAGGAAGCAGCGAGTGCGTCTGGGGAAGAATGTCTCGGACTCTCGGATTATAAATACAGGAGCCCCACAGGGCTGTGTTCTTTCTCCCCTGCTCTTCTCCCTGTACACCAACCACTGCACCTCCAGCCACGACTCCGTGAAGCTGATCAAGTTCGCGGACGACACCACCCTCATTGGACTCATCTCCAACAACGATGAGTCCGCCTATAGGAGGGAGGTGGACCGGCTGGTGTCCTGGTGTCTCCTACAGGAGGGAGGTGGACCGGCTGGTGTCCTGGTGCAGTGGTAACAACCTGGAGCTGAACGCCCAGAAGACAGTGGAGATGATTGTGGACTTCAGGAAGAGCACTGTCCCCCCGCCCCCACCCTCCGTGATGGACTCCCCCATCACCTCTGTGGAGTCCTTCCGTTTCCTGGGCACCACCATCACCCAGGACCTCAAGTGGGAGCCGACCATCAGCTCCCTCATCAAGAAGGCCCAGCAGGGGATGTACTTCCTGCGGCAGCTCAGGAAAGCCAAGCTGCAGTTCTACACGGCCATCATCGAGTCCATCCTCACCTCCTCTGTCACCTCCTCCTATCACCTCCTCCATCACCTCCTCCATCACCTCCTCCATCATCTCCTCATCACCTCCTCCATCACCTCCTCCATCACCTCCTGCATCACCTCCTCCATCACCTCCAGCAGTCACCTGGAACATGTCCTTGCACTGGATCTTGGCCCTGAGTTTGGCGCAGATGAGGAAGGCCCCTCCCATCTTGCGGTGCAGGGAGTAGGTCTCCTCTGGGGGCGGAGTCAGCCTCTGGTGGAGCATTGTGGGGATGAGGCGGTGGATCCGCTCCGTCGTGCTCTGGGCGCCAAAGTCAAAAGGCGCAGACGAAGAGAAGGCCTCGCCGAGGATCATGACGGCGTCTACGTGAGCACGCTCCATCGACTGCACAGGACACAGCGTCACCCTCTGGTCAGACTTGTACATCTACAGGGGTCTCTACATGCTGAGGCCAGAGAGAGACCAGAGAGAGACCAGAGACAGACCAGAGAGAGAGACCAGAGAGATACAAGAGAGAGAGACCAGGGAGAGACTCTGATGGACAGACCTTGGTCTCGAATCCTGTGAGAAACCTCATCTCTCTGGACTTGAGCAGGACTCGGTCTCGGTCCTGATCCGCCGCTGCTTTGATCACCTTTAACAAACTCACGTCTCATCTGTCATTCCAGTCCTCACTTAATCCACTTTTACTCCTCACCTCAATGTACGCATCTGTGAAGCTTTTGTCAAAACCTCGAGACGCTCCGAAGTCCAACAGATAACACCTGCAGGGAGGGGAGGGGGAGGAGGGGGGGAGGGGGGAGGAGAGGAGAGAGGAAGGGGGAGAGGGCAAGGGAGGTGAGAGAGGAGAATCACCAGTTAAGAACCACTGTTGTTTGTTAGTCCCCAGGGATAATGAATAGTACACAGGTCATTATTGGAAAATGAGTACCGACAGGGCGAAGCGGACCCCGACGGTTCAGGGTTCGAATCCCACCGGGAGCACATTAACACCAACATCCAGTGTGGGTCCTTAGGCAAGACCCCTTAATGCTGGCTGCCTAACTCATAACCATGAAGGCACAAATAACCAATGAGATGCCGGATTGGTCGCCCGGCCAAACAAGGTCTGCGTCAGGTGCTGGGGAACCAGAGCACCTTGATGAAAAGTGGGCTACTGGAACAAGGCGAAAGTGGACGAGATGCGATAACAGGGCTCTGTTGGAATGCTACTACTCGAGTAACCCTGGCCAAAGAGGTTACATGCAGAGAATGTGGGCTGAATGGTTACTTCGAAACCCACAGTCACAGTTGACCCCGAAACAACTGGTAGCTCAATGCTCCAACATCCACCAAACGGCAACTGCTATCACAGCTGGAGATTGATGAAGTACAACACATATATGATGCCACAGTTGCCGAGGTCAGAGGGAGATCCCACCAACTGCAAACTCCCCAACCAGATATTGGGTACATAGCCCCAATGGAACCGATAACGCTGAACGAGGCAGCGACTGACCTGAAAGCTAAGATCATGGCTAGATGGGCACAGGGCAAAGACACCGGTTACAGCGGTTGTGTGAAGTACCACCTAAGGATCTCATAGAAAGCGTGAATGCAGCAGTGAGGGCAATACCTACCACCACAATCACTGAAACCAATGAGCTGATATACACTTCAGCAGCAGTGATCCTAGAGATGCTTGGCTATAAAAGAGCAACCATGGGAGCCATGGACAATACCCACCATGGAAAAGACGGTTGGAGGCTAAGATCAAGGCGGCTCGGAGAGAAGTGAGTCAATTAACAGAGGCCCAGAGAGGTGCAATGAAAAGACCAGTACCCAGAAAGTACAGCCAGATGACCATACCTGAAGCACTCGAAACTGCCAAACAAAGGCTCCAAGCCCTGGCCAGCCGCCTACAGAGGTACACTAAAGAGAATGAAGCCAGAAGGGTGAACAGGCTGTTCGCAACACAACCTGCGAAGGTGTACGCTCAGTGTGGCAGGGTAACAACAGGGGAGCAGATCCACCGAGGCTGGAAACTGAACAGTTCTGGAGGAACATATGGGAGAAGGATGCAGCACATAACAGAAGTGCACAATGGCTGGTGTCCCTGAGAGAGGAGCACAGCCACCTCCCAGAACAGAACTCAGTTACCATCACAGAGGCAGACATCCGAGAAAGAGTCTCAGGTATGAAAAACTGGACAGCACCTGGCCCTGATATGGTCCATGCCTACTGGCTAAGGACACTCACATCACTCCATGAGCGCCTAGCAGCACAAATGAACCAGCTGCTGAGAGATGGGACTCACCCAGAATGGCTAACCGAAGGGCGAACGGTCCTGATCATGAAGGACCCTGTCAAGGGTGCAGTCCCCTCCAACTACCGGCCAATGACCTGTCTCTCCACAACATGGAAGCTCATGTCAGGCATCATTGCGGCTAAGATAAGTGGGCATATGGAACAATTCATGAGCACAGCACAGAAGGGCATTGGTAGGGACACCAGAGGAGCCAAACACCAGCTCCTGGTTGACAGAACAGTCGCCCAAGACTGCCGGTCACGACACACCAACCTGTGCACAGCCTGGATTGATTACCAGAAAGCCTACGACTCAATGCCACACACATGGATCATGGAATGCTTGAAGTTGTACAATATCAACAGGGCTCTAAGGGACTTCGTTGCAAACTCGATGGGAATGTGGAAGACTACCCTTGAGGCAAATGGCAAGCCGCTCGCACAAGTGACCATCAAATGTGGTATCTACCAAGGAGATGCTCTGTCCCCACTACTGTTCTGCATAGGCCTCAACCCTCTAAGCCAAGTAATTGACCAGACTGGCTATGGATACCGCCTCAGGAACGGAGCAAAGATCAGTCACCTCCTCTACATGGATGACATCAAGCTGTACGCCAAGAGCGAGAGAGACATCGACTCTCTGATCCAAACAACCAGGATCTACAGCCATGACATCGGGATGTCATTCGGGCTCGAGAAATGTAGCAGGATGGTGACTCGGAGAGGCAAGGTAGTCCACACAGAAGGGATCTCACTCCCAGAGGGAACAATAGCAGACGTTGAGGACAGTTACAAGTATCTCGGTATACCACAGGCAAATGGCAACCTCGAACAGGTGACGAGGAAAGCGGCAACTGCCAAATACCTCCAGCGAGTAAGGCAGGTCCTAAGAAGCCGGCTCAATGGCAAGAACAAGGCCCGGGCAATTAACAGCTACGCCCTGCCAGTGATCAGATACCCTGCAGGAATAATCAGGTGGCCAAAGGAAGAGATTCAGACCACGGATGTTAAAACTCGAAAGCTCCTTACCATGCATGGCGGGTTCCATCCCAAATCCAGCACCCTGAGACTGTACGTAAGCCGTAAAGAAGGAGGCCGAGGACTAGTGAGTGTGAGAGCCACTGTCCAGGACCAAACATCCAAACTCCATAACTACATCATGGAGAAGGCCAAAACGGATGACGTACTCAGTGAATGTCTCAGGCAGTGGCGAGATGAGGAGGTGCTGGAGGAGAGCCCATCATGGGAGAACAAGCCCCTACACGGCATGTACCACCGGAGCATAACAGAAGTGGCTGATCTCAAGAAGTCCTACCAATGGCTAGAAAGGGCTGGCCTACAGGACAGCACAGAGGCACTCATCATGGCTGCACAGGAACAGGCCCTGAGCACCAGAGAGGCCCAGATATACCACACCAGACAAGACCCAAGGTGTCGGTTGTGCAAAGAGGCACCTGAGACGATCCAACACATAACTGCAGGGTGCAAGATGCTGGCAGGGAAGGCCTACATGGAACGCCATAACCAAGTGGCTGGCATAGTGTACAGAAACATCTGTGGAGAGTATGGGCTGGAAACCCCAAGGTCTAAGTGGGAAACTCCTCCAAAGGTGGTGGAAAATGAGCGTGCGAAGATCCTGTGGGACTTCCAGATACAGACCGACCGAATGGTAATGGCGAACCAACCTGACATCGTGGTGGTGGACAAAGGGCAGAGGACAGCCGTGGTGGTGGACGTGGCAATTCCAAGCGATGGTAACATCCGGAAAAAAGAACATGAAAAGCTTGAGAAATACCAAGGTCTCAGAGAGGAGCTGGAGAGGGCCTGGAGGGTAAAGGTGACAGTAGTGCCCGTGGTGATCGGTGCACTCGGGGCAGTGACCCCGAAGCTAGATGAGTGGTTACAGCGGATCCTGGAACAACCTCGGACATCTCGGTCCAGAAATGTGCAGTGCTAGGAACAGCAAAGATACTGCGCAGAACCCTCAAGCTCCCTGGCCTCTGGTAGAGGACCCGAGCTTAGAGAGGGATAACCGCCCGCGGAGGGCCAAAGGTGAGTGGACAATAATTTATTTTATTTATACATATGTATATATGTATATTTATATAAATATATTTATATTCCATTTGATGCAGTGTGTTTTGAACCGTCAGAGGTCTTCGTGACACTGACTTTTTACTATTAAAGTCTTTTTTATTTGCATATTCTTATTTCCGCACAGACAGATTTTAAGGTCAGTAAATTAAAATATAAACAACATCATTGTCTCAGACTTTGGATCTGTTTCTACACATTATTTCTAAAGAAGAAGAAAATACTTTTGAATCGCTCTGATCCCAGATCAGTTTGATGTTTCTCCTTTGTCCTGTGTCTCCTGGTGACCCAGACCCAGACCCTGACCCAGACCCAGACCCAGACCCAGACCCAGACCCAGACCCAGACCCAGACCCAGACCCAGACCCTGACCCAGACCCTGACCCTTACCCAGACCCAGACCTAGACCCAGACCTAGACCCAGACCCTGACCCAGACCCTGACCCTGACCCAGACCCAGACCCAGACCCTGACCCAGACCCTGACCCAGACCCAGACCTAGACCCAGACCCAGACCCAGACCCAGACCCAGACCTAGACCCAGACCCAGACCCCGACCCAGACCCAGACCCAGACCCAGACCCTGACCCAGACCCAGACCCAGACCCAGACCCTGACCCAGACCCAGACCCAGACCCAGACCCAGACCCAGACCCTGACCCAGACCCTGACCCTTACCCAGACCCAGACCTAGACCCAGACCTAGACCCAGACCCAGACCCAGACCTAGACCCAGACCCAGACCCAGACCCAGACCCAGACCTAGACCCAGACCCAGACCCTGACCCAGACCCAGACCCAGACCCAGACCCAGACCCAGACCCAGACCCAGACCCTGACCCAGACCCAGACCCAGACCCAGACCCAGACCCAGACCCAGACCCAGACCTAGACCCAGACCCAGACCCAGACCCAGACCCAGACCCAGACCCAGACCCAGACCCAGACCCAGACCCTGAACCAGACCCAGACCCAGACCCAGACCCAGACCCAGACCCAGACCCTGACCCTGACCCAGACCCAGACCCAGACCCAGACCCAGACCCAGACCCTGACCCAGACCCAGACCCAGACCCAGACCCAGACCCAGACCCAGACCTAGACCCAGACCTAGACCCAGACCCTGACCCAGACCCAGACCCAGACCCAGACCCAGACCCAGACCTAGACCCAGACCCAGACCCAGACCCAGACCCAGACCCAGAACCCAGACCCAGACCTAGACCCAGACCCAGACCCAGATCCAGACCCAGACCCAGACCCTGAACCAGACCCAGACCCAGACCCAGACCCAGACCCAGACCCAGACCCAGACCTAGACCCAGACCCAGACCCAGACCCAGACCCTGAACCAGACCCAGACCCAGACCCAGACCCAGACCCAGACCCAGACCCAGACCCTGAACCAGACCCAGACCCAGACCCAGACCCAGACCCAGACCCAGACCCTGAACCAGACCCAGACCCAGACCCAGACCCAGACCCAGACCCAGACCCAGACCCAGACCCAGACCCTGAACCAGACCCAGACCCAGACCCAGACCCAGACCCAGACCCAGACCCAGACCCAGACCCAGACCCTGACCCAGACCCAGACCCAGACCCAGACCCAGACCCAGACCCTGACCCTGACCCAGACCCAGACCCTGACCCAGACCCAGACCCAGACCCAGACCCTGACCCAGACCCAGACCCAGACCCAGACCCAGACCCAGACCCAGACCCAGACCCAGACCCAGACCCTGAACCAGACCCAGACCCAGACCCAGACCCAGACCCTGACCCAGACCCAGACCCAGACCTAGACCCAGACCTAGACCCTGAACCAGACCCAGACCCAGACCCTGAACCAGACCCAGACCCAGACCCAGACCCAGACCCAGACCCGGGCCTCAGATCACTTTCACTGCTGTAATGAAACACGCACATGTTACCCACGCTGTCATTGAGCTCTAAGTCCCCGGTGAGTCCCGGTGAGTCCCCACGAGTCCCGGTGAGTCCCGGTGAGTCCCGTGAGTCCGGGTGAGTCCCGTGAGTCCCAGTGAGTCCCGGTGAGTCCCGGTGAGAGCGCTCTGCAAGTGGCGTGGGTTTAAGTGTAAGCCGGTGGTCGACAGATGGACGTCAGGTCTAATCCTGCAGAGAGAGAGTGAGGTCTGCGGCATCAGAGGAGACAGCTGCTACCTCTGTTACTGAACAACTGAAGGGTCTGACACACAGGAACAACTGAAGGGTACAATACACACAGGAACAACTGAAGGGTCTGATGCATACAAGAACAACTGAAGGGTCTGACAGACACAGGAACAACTGAAGGGTCTGACAGACACAGGAACAACTGAAGGGTCTGATGCATTCAAGAACAACTGAAGGGTCTGATGCATTCAAGAACAACTGAAGGGTCTGACAGACACAGGAACAACTGAAGGGTCTGACACACACAGGAACAACTGAAGGGTCTGACACACACAGGAACAGCTGAAGGGTCTGATGCATACAAGAACAACTGAAGGGTCTGACACACACAGGAACAGCTGAAGGGTCTGATGCACACAAGAACAACTGAAGGGTCTGACAGACACAGGAACAACTGAAGGGTCTGACACACACAGGAACAGCTGAAGGGTCTGATGCACACAGGAACAGCTGAAAGGTCTGATGCACACAGGAACAGCTGAAAGGTCCCAAACACACACACGAACAGCTGAAGGGTCTGACCCAGAGGTGTCCAGGTGTCTGGGTTCAAAGCAGTCAGATAATGTTGTTTTTAAGTTAGAATTTTATTGAATCATATGTGGCTCCTTCAGGGGTTTTGTATGTTCATAATTGGTCCTCAGTTTTCCGTTGGTTACTTCTCTGTTTGAAGGTGTGTTTTCTCTTTCCTTTGAAGTTGAGCTGAGTTTTCTTCTGGGTCAGATTCTACTCCGTCCTCTAAAGACATTTCTCTTTGGACTAAGTATAAAGAACGACTGAACTATGCCTTGTCCAGGTTCAACTGTAGTTTAGAATCAGCGTTCACATTCTCCCAACATGAACCACACTCATAAGACTCCAGTCCACTTTGACATCGAGGCGTTCATCTTTGCACGGCGTAGCACAAGCTCTGGTGTGTGCTGTTGGTGCACACTGGGGACAGTTGCACAGTTTTTCCAATGTGGTTTTACTGCAAATGGCAAATAAATTCTTGTATCTAGTAACTTGTATTCTCCCGGAGACTGTAAATCATCGACAGGAACTGGTCTATTCGCTGCATTCGTTCCATGGAGCTCCATTGTCTCCCACTTTTTATTTTATTTTTTATTTTTTTTAAAGTGGGAGAAAAAACACAACCACTTACTCTGCAACAATTAATGAAAGTGTTTCTGGAGGCGGCTGATTGAAGAAGCTCTCCGGAGCTGAGCCTGCAAAGCCACGATAACAGCAGATCATTAGCAAACACGAGGCTGTTTATCCTGTTCACTCAGACACTGTGTTTGTCCACGGTCCCCACAAAACCAGTGGAAAGAGGTTAGGATGAACTGGAGGAAATGTAAATGTGTGAGGCTGGGTTGGTGGAACGCACAGTCATTGCAAAGAGCTCAAAGTTAGGAGTGACCAAGGACCCTACCCCATTTCATCAGAGTTTTAAGAATGAATCACAAAAACATCAGACAAAGACCTCACACTGTTACACACATCAGGAACTAACAGAAAAAGTTCAGACTTTTGTGGCAATATCCAGCAATAACAGTGACCTACACAGAGAGAGAGAGAGAGAGACCAGAGAGAGAGACCAGAGAGAGACCAGAGAAAGACCAGAGAGAGAGAGAGAGAGACCAGAGAGAGACCAGAGAAAGACCAGCGAGAGAGAGAGAGAGACCAGAGAGAGAGCGAGAGAGAGACCAGAGAAAGACCAGAGAGAGACCATAGAGAGAGACCAGAGAGAGAGACCAGAGAGAGACACCAGAGAGAGACACCAGAGAGAGAGACCAGAGAGACACCAGAGAGAGACACCAGAGAGAGACACCAGAGAGAGAGACCAGAGAGAGACCAGAGAGAGAGACCAGAGAGAGAGACCAGAGAGAGAGAGAGAGAGACCAGAGAGAGAGACCAGAGAGAGACCAGAGAGAGACCAGAGAGAGAGACCAGAGAGAGACCAGAGAGAGAGACCAGAGAGAGAGACCAGAGAGAAACACCAGAGAGAGACCAGAGAGAGACACCAGAGAGAGACCAGAGAGAGAGACACACACACACACAGAGAGAGAGAGACACACACAGAGAGACACACACACAGAGAGACACACACAGAGAGAGAGACAGACAGACAGACACACACACACAGAGAGAGAGACATGAATGAATGTTAAAGGGTAAAAACAAGATCATTCTGCTTTTGTCCCGTTGGTAAATCTTGTTTAAGTCTCAGTCAGAAAGTGCTCAAGTTAAGATACATTTTGCCAAATTTGAGCAATTTTTTCATGTCTTTTCCAGTGCATGTGGTTTCACTTTGCACATTCTGACATAATAAACAGCACGCCCAGATCCATCCCACACACATGTCCTGGTCTCGGTACAGTCTAAAACTCAGCAGTGTAAGAGTCACCTCCATCTGTCGTTCTGTG